GTCAATAGGTACGCTGGCACAAGTTGCTCTTGTAACCTGTGCACTCTCCCCAGTTCTGCGGGACTTGTGCTATGCCTTGCTGGTCACCTGCACTCTTGTGCAGCCTCTCTGAGCCTGGATGTGGTCATGCTGTGCCTTCCCAGCACTTGTGTACTCTCCCTGGCCATGTGCACATCCTCATGTATACTACCCCATCCAGCAGCAGCCATCCTTATGGCACGCCTCTCCATCATCAGTGTATTCTTATGCAACCTCCCAGAGTCTTACTACACTTGTGCCAAGTTTTCCTGGCTACTTAGACACCCTTCCTGCTCAATTGTATATCCATGCACACCAGTGGTAGGTTTCAAAAATGTTTACTACCGGTCCTGTGGGTGTGGCTTGGTGGGCATGGCATGGCTTGGGCATGGCTGGTGGGCATGGCAACGGAAGGATACTGTAAAATCTCCATTCCCTCCCCAATCCAGGGGAAGGTTGCTGCAAAATCCCCATTTCCTCCCGATCAGCTGGGACTTGGGAGGCAGAGAATAGATGGGGGGGAGGGGGGCAATCAGAATTTTTACTACCGGTTCTCCGAACTATTCAAAATTCCCACTACTGGTTCTCCAGAACTGGTCAGAACCTGCTGAAACCCACCTCTGATGCACACCCTTTCTCACCTACCAGGCACTTCAATTCTCACCACACTCGCACAAACCTCCCTTGCCACCCACACACCCTTGTGCCTCATCTCCAAACCTTACAACGCCTGCACTATGCCTCCCCCACCCAATAGCAGCCACCACAAGCCATGCCATGTGCATACCGGGCCTCCTTGGCCATCTGCACACTCTCTCCTTTCCCCAGCAGCAGTCACTTACCTGCTTGCAAGCTGCTTGGGTCTTGCAATTTCTTGCCAGCTTCCCCACTGATTTTGATTATTGGAAGCCAGCAGGAAGTTGTGAGGTGGTACTCGCTTAGTGACTCCAGGTTCTCACTTAATGACAACAAGTATTTCAGGGATTGCCATTGCTAAGCATTGTGGTCACAGTCTTTGTGACTGCATTGCTTAACAATGGAAATTCTGATACCAACTACTATCATAACTGAGTATCACCAGGTTAGAGAAGGCTGGGTTAAGCTGAAATCTTTTGTCAGCCTTATTTTTATTTTTATCACCAGAATCATAGGTGCAGTGGACTAGCTCTGTTATCCTCTTTGATTTCTGCTGTCTACCGGAAATGAATGTTCATGTCTTTCTTTCTTCATGCAGTGTCCTTTATATGTGTGTATTATGTGTACAATATTTACATGTATGAAAAAGGTGAGAACAGAGTCATGTTAAGTCTTAATTCATTTTAAACTCACAAATCAATTGAGGTAAGAAAATCCCTTGGACAGCTACTTCTATGATTTGTGCTAAAGCCTTGATTAGTTTCAAATATGTCAGTACAATTGTCAGTACAATTTTGGGAAAAGATATTATACATAAGGAATTTAATGTGAAGGTGGACCATATAAAAGGTTTCCACATAAACATGGAATTTGTTATTCTATCAAGATCTTTGTCTTTACTGAGTCTGGGGCACAGGAAAGAAGATGATTTTTCATAATTAAAAAAAACATACTCTCCTGGTTTTAACAAATGGATGCAGGATATTAATTTGTTACTCTGTCTCTTTTTCTGGAAAAGCTGTTGTGTTCTAAAAATGAGAAGATGTACTACATTGCTATATGATTTAGATTTAATGAGCTTAAGGATAAATTTAAATGAAAATTGTTATCTCTATTAATACATACTTTTTGTTTTTTTTCTTGTCATGCTAAGTTTATTTTAATCACTACAATATATCTAGGTTTTCTTTCTTCACACTTCACACTACTTATCTTTTTCTGTTAGTGATGCAGGTTTTTTTTTTATTTCATAACTTTAAAATTTAAACTAATTTTTTTAAAAAAAGCCTTGGGAATAATATAGACTTCTAGGGAAGGCTGATCAATTTCACAACATGAAATTGTTCTTTTTGTTAAAAATGGCTACGTGGGAACATAGGACTGGAGAATATTTGACAATTCCGTACCGCAATTCTAGAACTTCACTTCCTCACTAACAACTTTCTGAAAATTCAGAGGCCTTCAGTTTGTCATCCACTTTCTTGCTGTTTTTTCATGTACTATTTCATGTACTATGTCTCTTGCCCTGTCTACTATCCAGTTGTGGGCTATGCTGTCTCTTATCTGAACATTGCCTTGATAGAGACTGTTTTCCCAGTGTCCCAAATCTCCCAATATAACATTGGAAATAAACCATTATGCTCAGTCAGATGCTATGGACATGTCTTCTTTGACAACTCGAGCCAACTTAGTTAATAATATTAGTTTCAACTCTGCTGCACATTGTGGATTTTCAGTTGTCTTGTTCTGTATAGAATTACAGATCTAAAGTATGAATGTGTACTTACTAAAAACAACTTTATAGGCTCTAAGTTTCATGAAGGACCTATAGTCCTATATGACCAGAACCACTACTACATATAAGGAATTGAATTGAAAAGTAGCAACAGGAATTTCAGGATGGTCGGTATATTTACCCAACTACTCCTGGATTTATATGTAACTTAGGGTTTGCACTAATAAATAGTTACTTGTTGCCTAGCAAAAACAATGTGTGGACAAGAGAGCCACAATGCTCTTCTGAATTTCAAAATCCTCAGTGGTATCTATGAGTTTGCTTTGAGATATTTTAATAAATTTTCAAACCCACAGTGATAACTATGGGTATGCTTTGGATACTCTAGTAAAATGCAGATATTTTGTTCACTTTTTTTTTTTAAATTTGATTTATATGCCGCCCTTCTCCGGAGACTCAGGGAGGCTTACAGTGCATTAAGCAATAGCCTTCATACTTTTGTATATTTATACAAAGTCAGCTTATTGCCCCCACAAACTGGGTCCTCATTTAACCTACCTTAGAAAGGATGGAAGGCTGAGTCAACCTTGAGCCTTGGAGAGATTCGAACCAGCAGTAAATTGCAGGCAGCTGTGTTAATAACAGGGTGCTTTAAACCACTGTAGTACCAAGGCTCTTAAATTTATTGGCCATCCAACTCCAGCGGACTTTGGGTGGTGTAATATGCATTTCCTAGAAAGCTTGTGTGTGGCTTTTCTTCAGATCTCTAATGTGACCTTTAATTGATAAGCCGATTAAATACTAAATACTGACTAAAAAGATTAGCCTACAGCAGATTTAATGTTGAGTGCAGTGACTGGCACAACAGTCAAAATGACAGGCGGTCATCAGCCCAAACTAGCTGCCTCCCTTGACCCAGGGTGCTTTTCTAGCTGGGAATATAGCATCTGCCAGCTGTCCAATAAACAGCTTTTACTCTGGTTAGCTATGTGAGGCTTGCATAAGAGACCTACCAGTTTGCTTAACTCAATTTTCTGTGTTTATGTGGTAAAATGAACCCCATTCAGAAGGGGCTCACACAAAAGATTCCCCTAGAAGGTAATCAGATGGCTTGTGATGCAATATATAGGTAATCCTCAATTTACAACCGTTCATTTAGTGACCATTCAAAGTTACAACGGACATTGGAAAAAGTGACTTATGACCATTTTACATACTTACGACTGTTGCAGCATTCCCGTGGCCACATGACCAAACATCAGATGCTTCGCAAATGACTTATATTTGTGACGTTTGCGGTGCCTTGGGGACATGTGATCAGCTTCCGCAATCTTCTGACAAGCAAAATCAATGGGGAAACCAGATTCACTTAGCAACCATGTTACTAACTTAACAATTGCTGTGATTCACTTAACAACTCTGGGCAAGAAAAATGGGGAAACATTCACTTAACAAATGTTTCATTTAGCAACAGAAATTTTGGGCTCAATTGTGGTCATAAGTTGAGGACTACCTGTATCATAAAAATGTAAGGCAAGGGTAAAGGTTTCCCTATCCAGTTGTGTCCGACTCTAGGGTGTGGTGCTCATCTCCATTTCTTGGCCAAGGGAACCAGCATTGTCCGAAGATATTTTCCATGGTTATGTGACCAGCATAGCTATATATGTCAAATATATAGCACGGAATGTTATTACCTTCCCACAAAGTGATACCTATTAATCTACTTGCATTTGCATTCTTTTAAACTGCTAGGTGGGCGGTTTGAATAAACATTTATCATAAGTCAATTTTTTCATTTGCCATTGACAAGAAAGGAGTAGGGAACAGGGAGCTTCACACTGCATCACTCAGACTTCTGCCTAGTTGGCAGAACTCCAAAATTCGAACAGTACTTATTGTGCTGCAGCAGGCTGAGCTGTTCCCAAACCATTGCATGCATTTTTGCTACCTGACTTTGAAACATGAAATATAGTGAAATTTTCTCTTTCCATTTGACTTCCCTTGTCCCCAGGTATACTGAACTGGGAAGAGTTTTGCAACAGTTTTATTTAAATGCAATAACTAGTCTCTCAGGTATCTATCAGACTCTAGCAAAAGTCTATTTTAATCTACTGCCAGTGACCTGCATGTTTCTCCACTGCCAGAGTCCCACTTTTTTAGCCTGAGACCATGAAATGCATTTGTTCATGAGCTGCATTTGGCCGCCACTTGCTTGGTGTTTAGGAAATCTTCTGCAGCATCTCTTCAATGAATATTTTAATCTTGATTTTTATTCATGGATTTAATGTTTTGTTTCCTGGTTTTGTTTTTAAAAATTTATCCATACTTACCTGGATGTTTACCAGAGTGGATAAATATCAAATACATAAAATGAACCCACTTAACAAACCTGTTGATTTACCAATAGTTGTATAACATGAAGCTTCATTCTAAATTCAATATGGAGAACTTTTTTCCTAAAAGGATGTTTAAACTTTTAAATAGATACACTATTTCACAGATTATATTGCAGTTTGAAAGTAGTAAATATTGCCTTTCTGCAGTTTAAGTAAGGTACATACTTTAAAAAAAATGTTGCTCAAATGCTACTTTTCTGTCTGCTTCTTTGCAGTTTGTTTGTATTCTCTGATCAAGATCTACTCCAGAGAAATGGTAAGGCTTTAATTGTCTCCTGCAAATTGTCACTTCCTGGAAAAATACAGGTCCAAAAAAATTTACAGAGGAGTTTCAGGTGACTATAGGTCACCAGCAGATAGTTTAATTAATTCAAACATTTTTAACCTTTCTGTTCCGCCAGAAATATTCCTACAGTAGTTTAGGAGTGATAAATAACAAAGATGTCTGTGTTCAGGGATACAAGCTAAATATAACACCAAAGGAAAATATGGATGAGCAGGGAAGCCATAAAAAAACCAAGCAATAGTTCTTAGAGTCATCAACTGAAAACAGTTCAAAGAACAGATCCCATTAGATCTTATATTTCAGTAGATTTAATGGAATGAGTCTGCTTTTTACTTTTCTTCTGCAGTGGTTGCATCTAATTAGTATGTAAAGAAGTTATGTAGTGGTATGCAGCTAGTTCAGACCAGTTCGGGCTATGCCGTCCTATTTAGCCACATTTTCTAAGCCTGCGTGCAAACCACATACATGAGCAAAGCACATGCATGGCCACGTGCATGCATGGAAGGCTGCACACATGCGTGGAAGGCGCACACACACATTTTTGATGTGTGACGAACTGGTGGTAAAATTATGAGAAACCCACCTCTGGAGTTATGGATGAAAAATAGGAGGTGTCACCACTGTGACATCAGAGAACTTTCCTCCTGCTTTCCCCTAATTCAGGATACTTATTCCCTTTCTCTTTTCCATGGCTGGGATGCTGAAATGGAAAATGCATAACTAAAGGGCATGAAATGCTATTTCCTTGAAATGCAAGTAGTCCTTGACTTGCAACCATTCATTTATCAACCGTTTGACAACCAACAGCACATTAAAAAGTAACAACAGGTCCTTGTATTGATGACCGTTGAAGCAGCCCCACAGTCATGTGATCAAAATTCAAGCGCTTGGTAACCTGGTATGTATTTATGATGGGTACAACATCCTTCTGGTCATGTGATCGCCATTTCATCCCCTCTTTTGTTGGCATCTAACATCAAAGTCATTAGGGAAAGCTAGATTTGCTTAATGACAGTATAATTTGCTTAACAATTACAGTGATTTGCTTAACAATTGTGGCAAAAAGGTCATAAACTTAACCATGACTTATTTAACAACCGGCTCATTAGCAATGGACATTCTGGTACCGATTGTGGTTGTAAATTAAGGACTACCTGTAGTAGACAAATAGATGAGGAGAGAAGATGCTTTCTGTTTATAACAGTCCATAATACAGTTGATTCACCAGCTTCCTAAACAAAATCTCTGAGCATTAAGAATTGTTCATACTAATGAAAGGCAGTCGAAGACTATACCTCTTTGTGTTCTACAATATCAATGACATACAGAAGAACTTTTAAATATATAATCTTTTTAAAAAGATTGGCTCAAATTATTCACCATGTTGGCTGCTGTGTTAAACTACATCTGATTGATAAGCTGTCTGCCCCAATACACACACACACACACACTTTTAAAAAATATTTTTATATCAGTCTCCTCTTTGATAAAAAAAAAACCCTCAAACCTAAAAATAGTTATTAAAATTGTTTATTGCTAGGATTAGTTTTAATTGGAATGTATTGCATGTTGTTTCTTTTGTAGGTCGACGGTATGATGGCAGTGTGAAGCCCAAAATTAATTTACAACAAGTAGCAATAACACAGGTATGGAGACACCAGAAAACTGGATAGTAAGTTCTTAGATGACAATATTTTCTTTCCAAGTCATGTAGCATATTTATGTTCCTTGACCAAATTATTTTCAGTGTTATACAGCATATATTGCACCTGGGTTGTAAATCTGTATGATTTACTACATATATCTTTTTAAAAAAAATATATTGATGACACCAGATAAATTCATGAGTTGGTCTCACAAGATTTGTCCATCCAGGACAATTATTATCCTGGTACAAACTCGATTGATTGCAGAAGTAGTGGCACATATCAAACATTAAAATAAAAAGGAAAAGAAAAGGAAAAGGAAAAAGAAAAGAAAAAGAGACTCAACTCTCCATGTTGATAGTATAACTGAGAAATACTCACTTGAAGGTTTTCTGCAAGAAACTCTGGATGACACATTTATTGGTACTTAGGAATATCTGGTATATATTTTATATATTTGTAAATGTTGTTCTTTTCTGAATATCAGCAGTTCTCAATTTTTCCCAGAAAGTATTCTAGAATTCTATTACAATTTTTTTTTTATTTCTCTTAGTAGCTACAGGTTGTCTTTGTCTTAGGGCCAAAACTGAGTTCAACATTTCTGTTGCTAAGCGAGACATTTATTAAGTGGATTTATTACCTTTCTTGCTATAGTTGTTAAGTGAATCACTGCAGTTGTTAAATTAGTAACAGTGTTGTTAAATGAATCTGGATTCTCCACTGACTTCACTTGTCAGAAGATTGCAAAAGAGGATCACATAACCCCAGGGCACTGCAACTATCATAAATATGAGTCAATTGCCAAGTTTCTTAATGTTGATCACATGGCTATGGGGATGCTGCAACGGTTGTAAGGGTGAAAAATGGTCAATAGTCATTTTTTTCAGTGCTGTTGTAACTTCAAATGATCACTAAACAAGCTGTTGTAAGTTGAGGAATACCTGTACTTATCAAATAATTGCTTCCCCCCCCCCGTCTCTGTGTTATTTTTTGCTATGTTGTAATGACATCTGTTGCAGATGTCATTACAACCCCCAGTTCGCACCGGTTCTATAGAACTGGTAGTAAAACCAGCAGGAGGTTCCGCCCACCGACCCCAATGTCATCAAATGCTTCTGCGCATGCGCGCAAGCAAAGCAAGCGCGCACGCACAGTCCCATTGCGAACCAGTAGTAAAGATAAGTACAACCCACCCCTGATCTGTTGTCTGCTAGCACAAGTGTGCACAGGACTCTTTGGTACAGTTGTGCCAGCAGGGTGGTTCTAGGTCCTCCATTTATCAACTCTCCTTCTAAAACCTTCCATATTCTTGCTCAGTGTGCTACCACAATCCAATTTATTCGAGAGAAATTCTTACACAAAATTGTGTGAACTCAACAACAATAATGTGGCACATCCTCTGATTTTTCTCAATTACTTAGCCAAATATACTGGGCTAAAATTTAAGCCCTCTTAGAATAAGTGGACTGACTCAGAAAGAAATTCAAACATAATAGATGGAGATAGAAGATAGATAGATAGATAGATAGATAGATAGATAGATAGATAGATAGATATAGATATAGATAAAGATATAAATATAGATATAGATATAGATACAGATACAGATACAGATACAGATACAGATACAGATACAGATATAGATATAGATAGTATGGAATCAGTGGGGTCGAAAGACAAAGGGAGAAAGGAGAATTGAACAGTTAATTCCTTCAGTTCCTCCACTCAGGAAAATATACATAGAACAAAAGCAACTAGAAAAATAGAACATAGTATAAGAAAATAACAAAAGCAAACGAATTTCTAATAGTTTGGATAATTTCTTCTGCTTTTCCTATGAGAAAGGAAGGTGTAACAAAAAAGAGTCTAATGTTTTTTAAAAGCCAACTTGAAAGAGTTGAATTTCTTGGCTCCTGATTGGTACTTCAAGTTTGATTTTACAGGACTTTGATGGTCTCTGCCAATTTTCTAGATTAACAGAATTTAGGTTTCATTGACAGACCACATTTGTGTTTTCCTTCATCTCTTTCATGTCTGAGTCTCTTGAGATGGGATTTGTCGTTTACATTTCTGCTATCTCCTGAAATTTCCAGAATCTCATTTTTAAAATTGGTACCCTACGTAATGTCACAAAGATGTAATTTTGTTTATATTTTTATGAAATATATCCACAAATTCAATGTCTGAATTAGCTGACACGTAATAAAATTCCTGCTGATAAGCAGCTATATAAATCTTTCCACTATTATTAACATAAATCAATATATCTTCTTGTGTCTAGAAGGATAAAAATAAGAGTTCATATCTCAAGCAGTTCATATGCAGATATTTATATTTTAGCACAATAATTGTATAGTGTTTCACTAAGGCAGTGTATCACTAATAGCACATGCCATTTCACTCTAACAATAGTAATTTAAATGATATATATTTTAAAAACTGTTCAATGAGCTTTGTCTCCACTAATGATTAGACATTTATTACGAAAACTATCCATATTTTTAGAAACTCTGCTTTTTACTTATATATTGGGGATGAACAGTAATTTCTTATGGTGTTTAATAAGCAGAGCTTGTCTTCCTGTTAGACAGAATTATGATAGCCACCCTGAAGCAGGATATTGCTAGGTTTTTACTTTCTTATTATTATTATATTATTATGAGGATTTTGTGCAATATCTGCATGATAAAATCGCTCAGATTCGGGAAGGCTTGGCCTCTGACTGGGTAAGTTCAGACGGGATGATTGAGACAGGTCTTGAGAGTGTTATCTGGGAGGAGTTTGATCCTGTGGCTCCCGAGGACGTAGACAGGATTCTGGGACGGCTGAACACGACCACATGTTTATTGGACCCTGGTTGGTGCTGGTTCCCGGGAGGTTACACGAGGCTGGCTCCAGAGGATTATTAACGCTTCTTTGAGTGAGGGTGTCTTGCCGGCCGCCTTGAAAGAAGCGGTGGTGAGGCCTCTCCTCAAGAAGCCCTCTCTGGATCCGGCTGTTTTGGCTAACTATCGTCCAGTCTCCAACCTTCGTTTTGTCACGAAAGTTGTTGAGAGTGTGGTGGTGTGGCAGCTGTCGCAGTACCTGGATGAAGCTGTCTATCTAGATCCGCTCCAGTCCGGCTTCAGGCCTGGGCACAGCATGGAAACGGCATTGGTCGCGTTGGTGGATGATCTCTGGAGGGCTCAGGATAGGGGCTGCTCCTCTATCCTGGTCCTGTTAGATCTCTCAGCGGCTTTTGATACCATCGACCATGGTATCATGTTGCGCCGGTTAGAGGGGTTGGGGATGGGGGCACCATTTTGCGGTGGTTCTCTTCCTATCTCTCTGACCGGTCGCAATCTATGTTGGCAGGGGGGCAGCGGTCGACCCCGAGGCGCCTTGTTTGTGGGGTGCCACAGGGGTCAGTCCTCTCATCCCTCCTGTTCAACATTTATGTGAAGCCCCTGGTGAGATCATCCGTGGCTTTGGGGTGGAGTTCCATCAGTACGCTGATGACACTCAGCTGTACATCTCCACCCCAGGCCACTCCAATGATGCCCTTGAAGTGATGTCCCGGTGCCTGGAGGCCGTGCAGACCTGGATGGGGAGAAACAGGCTCCGACTCAACCCTTCCAAGACCGAGTGGCTGTGGCTTCCGGCATCCCGATATAGCCAGCTGGTGCCATTGCTGGTTATTGAGGGCGAGTCATTGGCCCCCACGGAGGGGGCTCGCAACTTGGGCATCCTCCTGGATGCACGGCTGACTTTATGAAGCATATGATGGCCGTGGCCAGGGGGGCTTTTTATCAGGTTCTCCTGATACATCAGTTGCATTCTTTTCTGGATTGGGATTCCTTACGCATGGTCACTCAAGCATTCGTCACTTCCCGCCTGGACTACTGCAATGCTCTCTACATGGGGCTCCCCCTGGGGTGCACCCAGAGGTTCCAACTAGTCCAGAATGCGGCCACACGGGGGATTATGGGAGCAATGGGGCACTCCCATGTGACACCCCTCCTGCGTGAGCTGCACTGGCTCCTGGTGGTCTTCCGGATGTGCTTCAAGGTGTTGGTGACTACCTTTAAAGCGCTCCATGGCTTAGGGCCTGAGTATCTACGAGACTGCCTTCTGCCGCCAATAGCCTCCCACCGGCCAGTACGCTCGCACAGAGAGGGCCTCCTCAGGGTGCCGTTGGCCAGACAATGTTGGCTGGCGACCCCCAGGGGGAGAGCCTTCTCTGTGGCGGCACCCGCCCTTTGGAACGACCTACCCCCAGAAATACGTACGATCCCGGATCTCCAGACTTTTCGTCGGCCCCTTAAAACTCACTTATTTCATCTAGCCGGGCTGGCTTGATCCCATCTTTCGGTTTTAATTTGTAATTGATTTTATTGGGGTGTTTTTAAATTGTGGGCTAAAACTATTTAATATCTTTTTAAATTGTTTTAAATTTTGTATGCTATGTTTTTACCTTGGCTGTTCACCGCCCTGAGTCCTGCTGGAAAAGGGCGGTATAAAAATCAAATAAATAAATAAATAAATAAATAAATAAATAAATAAATAAATAAATAGTCAGAATTGAGATTTTAGTGTAATGTTCTAGTTCAGATTTAGGATGGGCTCCATCTCAAAGCAAAGCATTTTGGACTAGCCTTGACGGCAAGTCATTTATGGAATTGAATTTATGTTGCTCTGGTATCTAGTAATTCAAAATTAAGTGTTGAATTTATGTTGCTCTGCTTTCTAGTAATTCAAAATTAAGTGTTAGTAGTATGTTAAAGGAAGAACACTAATTGTTATTTCTTACTTGGTTGCATGCAGATTGGCAATTACAGTGTAAGCACTGAAGAGAATTTGGAGAAAGAATCTATGATTCACAGCCACTACAGTCCACTGAACGTCACCATTAATGGAAGCCCCTGTATTCTATTCTGGGCCAGAAGGATCATGATTAAGCTTCAGAACCACACTCAGCTGGATCTAACAGACAAAACATTTGGTGTTCACGCATCGGTGGATGTTGCTGATTCAAACTGCAGTGAAGAAAATGCCATGTAAGATTTATGGAGATTCTCAATCATCCAGGCTGTGCTTGTCCCAAAGGTGTTTTTTCCAAAAGATGACTGAACTTTCTTGATTTTTTTCTTTAAAAATGTTTCATTTCACATCCAAGAAGCTTCTTCAGCTCTAACCGAAGAACTGAAGTAGCTTCTTGGATGAGAAGTGAAATGTTTTCAAACAAAAAAATCAAGGAAGTCCAGTTGCCTTTTGAAAAAACAAAAACCTTTGGTGCAATGTAAAATTGTACCCTACTGTGGAGTTTTTCTAGGTCTGAAATAAAATTAAATGTTTTTTTTTTAAATCAACAATGCAGTATCCTTGTGGCAGTGAAATGTTGAGCACTGAACTAATATAATGACTTTGAATGTTCCCAAATATTCTACTTGCTGGAGCCATAATATTGATGAATGCTTGCCGTTCTATGTTTGTCAGAGATGTTTGTCAACAAGGTTGTCTGTGTTTTAACTTTCATATAACCCAAGAAAGAAAGAAATAGATTATGAGATAGATTGAGAAAAAAAGGTTTTGTGATGTATAGAAACTAAACACTAGACTATGTAGCAAGATATATTTATAGAAACTTATGCTAAAATTAATTTGATAATCTTTAAAGTATCATAATATCCTGTGTCTGTGACAAATGCAGTTTATTTTAAGCCTAATTGTTGTCTGTTCATGAACTGTAACCATGAAATATAGCTGTAATTCAATTTTACTATGAATGGAATATAGGTGTTACTAGGTACCTCACTAATGTTATCCTGAGGTCCTGTGACTCGCTAAATAAGCACCGTTGGATACAGTTGCTGGCTTTTATTCAAGTATTTGTTGTACTATAGGAGCTCGGCACAAGCAAACTGCCACTCTGATACATTATAGGGCCACATTTTTTGCACCGGGTTATGATTTGGACAAGCAATGTCTGCAAGAGGTATCAAGAGTTCATGTTGTGCCATTACCAAGCTCTGCCCCTTTTGTGTGTTTCGATGGTACCATGCAACCATCTTAAATAACTTTGATGAATTTAAATTTAACTACAATCTCTTCTTTCTCTTCCACCTCTGAATAGTTCTTGATTTAATTGTCCTTTTCCATCTAGGCTTTCACTTAATTTTGGTGACATTGACAATTTGAAAGGATTTGTTATCAGGTATGTTTTCGAATATTAATCTCCACAGCACTATTACATTAAAACTATACTGTTAACCTATCTCCATTATGATAATGTGAAAATGTGAAAACATTTTGCAATAAATACAATTTCCTTTACAATACAACAGAGGCAAGAATCTTTCAGAATTAAAGACCCATTCATTTCAGTAAATATATATATATTCCTCAGTTGAAATTATCAGGGCTTAACAGTGCTTAACTTTGGAAGGCAATATCCATAGGCACAGTTGCATGTTATCAAAATTTAAGAGAATAATTGCAAATATAGTTAGCGTATCGCACTTTTGTGCATTGTAGAGATCACTTGTTACGAGCAAATATGCACTATGCTTTATTTAATCTGATTTCTGTTTCCTTAATGTTTTAATGAAAATGTATTTTTATGATGTTTGGTAGTTCTGTTTCCTTATTTTGCAATATTATGTATGCTATGCTGGGCTTTCAGTTTAAAATATGTACATACGAGTTTTCAAAATTCCATTTTTTTCTAGGAAATTTTGCTTACAAAGGTGATATGTGTGTTTTACATATTAATATATGTAAATTAATGCACTACATGAACATCCAGTACGATTTAGCCTCTTATTTTTCTAGCCTTTAATTTAGACAGTGCTTTTAAAGTACTAGACACACAAAATGTCAAGACTGTTGTATTATTTATCTAGAAATGTATTTATGATAAGTTTTAAAAGGAATATTTGCAAACAGCAACAACCTGCTCCTGCTTTCTTTTCCATTATCTTGATTTTCTGGCAGTTTAGAGTATTTTTAGTGTTTAACAGTGAAAACAAAGAATTGAAAGGCATACATTCTGGATCAACTAGGAAATCCCATGCAATAATAATAATATGAAGTTGGTATATCTTTATGAGATTTATTTACATATATAAACAAAAACTGGCAAGATTTACTGTAATTATTTTTCTGATTTCCCCTGGCAGATTCATTCTGACAAACAGTTACTACAAGCTCTCCATTCAAAATTGGTTTACCTTACACAGAATCCAGCTTATTTACAATCAATCTGTACAAGCAACATTCAACGCAACACGAATACATGCACCAGCAATCTATTCTTATCACTGTGAACATGTCAGCAACTTGCAGAGATATGATGCACTATTAACACCCAGCTCTGCAAATGATGCAGCCAAGCACTGGGAAGTTACTTTTATTGATTTTCAGGTAATGTGTGAGAAAGCCAACTGAGGCCTTTAAGTAAATACTTATAAGGCTAGATCTGTGCAGTAAGGAAGCTTAAAGAACCTTTCAATATAGATCACGGCTGCTGAATGCGTCATGCACTGGCCACGCCCATGCCCAGTTTAGCGAAGGGGGAAAAAGGCAGTCGCCTTGTTCTTACAGACTTGCAATGGAAGTTTAAGAGTTATTCAGAAATCTCTCCCACTGTGTGCAATAAATGTCTCCAGTTATTAGGTATTAGCTGCCACACTGTTGGGGGCCTAACTATTGTCCTCTTTCAAGACTTGCACGTGTGAACTTTTGAGATTTTATATATGAGACGATTGATAAAGATATCAATAAACTTCCCAAAAGAATCATAGCCTGTATCCTAAATGTAAATTGGGAAGAAAGAACATGAGATGATTTGGGACAGTGATGCCTAACCTTTTCCAGACTAAGTGCCCAAAGCGCGCACGAAGACCCAAAATGCAATGCACGCGCACCCCTGTGCATGCACCCCGGCCCCATGCATGTGCACACCCCTTGCATGTGCCCCCCTGCATGCATGTGCCACTGCATGTGCTGCACCACCACATGCGTCCCACTCCCCCCATATGCACCCCACCCCATGCATGTGCACATGCCCCCAGCATGCACTTGCCCCCATACATGCATGCCTCATGTGCTCCCATGCATGCATCCCACATGTGCCCCATCCCACGCATGCACGCCCCTGTGCATGCGCCCCACCCCCACGCATGCATAGCAGAGATCCGAAGACCAGCTGACTGGCGGGAGGCGGTGCATGCACGGTGGAGCTGAGCTGGGGTGACGGCTCACATGCCCACAGAGAGGGCTCTGTGTGCCATCTCTGGAATACATGCCATAGGTTCGCCATCACTGATCTAGGACAGTGATGTTGAACCTTTTAAACACCGAGTGCCCAAACTGCACACACGTGCATACCCAAACTGAAAGGTGTGTGCGCGTATGCGAATGTGAACAAGCATGGACATGCGTGGACATGCACGTGCACGGACGTGCACATGCACATGTTCACATGTCCGCATGTCCATGTGCAGAGATGCGCACATGCACAACAGAGACCCGAAGACCAGCTGGCTGGTGGGAGGCGGAGAATCCCAACCCCAGCAGTGCGGCAAGATGTAATATCTTTTTCTTTCATGAGCTTCTGTTTCGTCGTTTGCAGGGAAACAGAAGCTCATGAAAGAAATGCCACAGAGATCTGACCTGGGGCAAAGGCATGCATGCCAGTAGAGAGGGCTCTGCAGAGAGGGCCATAGGTTTGCCATCATGGATCTAGGAGATAATGAAGTTTGAATTATAATATAAAAGCATTTCATTAAAAGTAACTACTTACTCTGGGCTAAATATTCTTAGAAATGCATATTAGTCTTAGAATATACAGGTTTATTCAGAGGTGGGCATCACATACTGTAACAATCGGTTTGCCCAGAAAATGTGAGCGTGCAGGCGGCATCAAGAAACCGGTGATTATATATGACATGATAGCGCCAGGGAGGTGGGCAGGCCCAGTCTCTGATCAGAACTACCGGTTTGGCTGAACCGGTCAATATCGGCAGCAGCAACTGGGGTTATTAATATGCTTCTTCCTGAAAATTCTGGTATCACCATTTTGAAGTTATATTTTTGTTATTGTAATAAAATGATAGACTATATTAATGAATTACATGATATGAACATTACTGGTTGTTTATTGTTTTCCCAACTAGATGTTGTGATAAGATGAAATGGCAAAGGCACTTACCAGGGTATATAGTTTGAGCTTTCATCTCACTGATTTGGTGTATGTAGTTTGGGGATGGTTCAATTTGTGTCAAGGTAACACTTGAGGAAGTTGCAAAGATAAGTAAACAAGCCAGTCAAGGAGAAAAATAGCTTAACTGTTTTCACAGCAGGGATGTCTGCAGGCTGTGATTGAAAGAGTCAGTTTGGCAGCCATGACAGTGTGATTGAAGCTTAGACAGTTTTATGTGCATTGCACAGAATGGTTGTCTCTGTTTTAATAAGCTATTGGGTTTATCTTCTTGACTCTGGAATTACAATCTTTGGTAGTGTCTTGACTAGTCTTATTTAGCCAAATTTCTTTCAGATGTGTTAGTAGTACTGTATCCCAAGTCATTTGGGAAGTGAGTCAAGGCTTAACGTCTGCAATCTCACACATATATCTATATACCAGATTTCTATCCTAGTTTATTTTAGAATTCCTCGATGACACACAAGAAGCTCCAGAGAAATAGATTCTGATTTCTATTTCTGCAACTGATACTGGGGAAAATAATTTTGATCATCAATAGTGAACAAAGAATAGCATGCCCTTGAATTGCAAGGGGAGGTTGTCTTAATTTAGACTATTTGATTTTCTTCACAGATTCAAGGATTTAACATTGAAGACGGACAGTTTGCTTATGCAAAAGATTGTGCTTCCCTCTTCCCACCAGCCATTCTAATGGGTCTAGTGATGTCTCTGATACTGCTTCTTGTTTTAGCTTATGCTCTTCACATGTTGATGCACTTAAAATCCATTGACAGACATTATGAATGCAAAGCATCTTCTGCTTATTATCCACAGATGAAAGATATTGATACAGCAGATGAAAAAGAGCCCCTGAGAATCAATGGGCATGAAACCTATGAACTTAGAAGCCAACAATATTCTAAAATCTATATCTAACCATTATCCTGGGTGGTTGCTCTCATCCCATGGTTAGACAGCAAAGTGCTTCAAGAAACTTTTGCAGCTACGACCTCACAACACTCCGGAAACAGAATGCCACAACTTTAATTTCAATCAAACAATTTCAAGTTCTCGTGATTTTGTGGAGATAAAAGTAGAAGTGCTACAGTGAAGTGCTTCATTACTCATAAAATCCAAAAACAGATCACATGGATGACTTTGTTACGTTTGTCAATACTAAAAGCAACTTGGAGATGTAAGGAGATGTTTCATGGTCAGGAATGTTTTTAGAATTATAATATTGACTGATTAATTAATTGTCTGGAATTTATCTAACAAGGTGGAATTTGCTGCTGTTCTAAAGCTGCCAAATTTTTCTTCCCAATGAAAATAAAATATCACAGCCAAAGATGCATAACAAAAATAAAGGTCAGTTATTCAGATATGGTCTAGCAACATCATGTTTTTTCTGCCATGACCCTCAAGATTCTTAAACAAGGTTTTTGTGCAATATACAAATGACTTCTATCTTGGTGTAGCAAATAACATTTTAACTGCTAATGAGCTGAAAAGTGACTATGTGCATCCAAATCATTGCGTCTGGTTGCAGTGTGAAATGCAAATGCCAGCCAAATAGCAACCATGTATGGCTTGTAAAAATATATGAATTTTGTCAGTTACATCTCAGTGTTATACAAATTTGCTGTGGGTAGCTTATCTTGTGATGCTTTTGTGCCAAGAGGTGTCCTTGGCACTGAACATTGTTCACTTTTGTTGTATTTCATTGAAATTATAAACAGTTTTTGATGTTCCATTCTTCTAATATTGAGCTAATTTTTTATGACATGGTTTCTCTGATAAATGATCAAAGAATACCAGACTGTTGGCATTAATTTCCAAACATGTCATTCAGAATAAGATAAAAGAAAATGAATCTCAGTGGGAAGGAAAAATTTAGTGTAGCAAACATTGCCTCTGATACTGCAAAAGTATGACTGTTGTCTTCAGTTTTAATTTCCAAAGCCTTGAGAGTCACATTTAATAATGATGTTTTTAAAGAAAACCAAACAATTGTTCAAAGGCAGAAAGCGCCTGGTCTCTTGTAACTGTATCAAAAGAATCTATTGTTGTAATACCTTTTGAATTCTACCCCAGATGTACCCTCTATTCTATAAATACATCTCCAACATAATATCTAGGACAGCAGTTAGAATGTTTTAGCCCATGGATGAAGTTGTTTTGAAGCCATACCGTTGTAACCACTGCATAGGTGGTCAATACTCTTACGAAACTGAAAGTTGTATTCCAGTGTAGATACAAATTTTGAAATCCCATAAATGTTAAATTTTAAGAAACATTATCTGGAATCAGTAAGCCAAGAACTTAAACAAGCCAACAGGAAGCAATGAAGTGCTCTTAATTGCCTTGTAGTATTTTGTGTCCAGAATTTGGATACTATCGTAGAAGGCAGAGCTGGATTTTGTCTAACATTTTTGTTATCACCCATGTCTTGGGAAGGGGAATGTGGAAAGTATTTAACCATTAGACTGCATTCTGTTTCCCAGCATTTTGTTGTCATCTACATAGCAATGAACATTCTTACCAAGTTTCAGGTCCTAACTATTAATAGTTCTCTTTTGTATATAAAGGGAGAAAGAAAGAATATTGCACAATTCTAATCTCATGTTGTTTTATATTTAAAAAATAAATAGCATTGATCTCACAGAGAGGATTACATATTAAAATTACATAACAGTATCCTAAAGTTCACTTTTCATATAAATAGAGTAAATGAAACAAAAATAGAAAGAAAGCCAGAGATAAAAAAAATAATTAAAACCACAGTATACCCAAAATAATAAAATGGCCACCACACAATATGCTATTATAAATATATTTGATAGGTTTGGGAAATACCAGGATCAGATAGTAGCAATGCAGCCTCTCTGCTCCATATATGCAGTTATTCTTTTACTACTTCTGTTCCTCTTAATTACTTCTCAATCTTTCCTAGGGAAAGGACCAGCCAAGTTGACAGTGCATGTTTTATTAGGTTTTGCACACACACCCCTTTTTTTTCTTGCGTTACCTGAAAGAAACTAGCAGGAAATTATTCCCAATGAATTCAAGAGTTTGCCCCTATGTAAAGGGGTAGAATAGGGTTCCTATTGTGGCCTGCCCCTTCCCTTGAACAGAAGAAGTGAACAGCAGCAACAGAAATTGCTGGATGAGATAAGGGCTCTGGAAGTTGACCCCAATTTAATAGATGCCAACAAGACCAGTTTCTAATGCAGGCCCTTTATCAATATATTAACAGAGTTGGAAGGGACCTTTATTTATATCAATAAATTGTTCTCCGAATGCATCCCATGACTGAACAATAAGACATTCCAGAGATTCCAGCTGGCCCATGATTTACTTTCCATATAAGGAATCAGTAGATCTGCAACAGAGTATCTGCAACATGCGGACAGTTTACCAAAAGGTCTCATTTAATTACTGGAAGGGAATATTATTTAGAGTAAGAATTGTTCTTTCTCTGCACTCTATATCCTCCTCAAACTCAGTTCCATCACCTTAATTATTGCCTAACATTAACCATCCTTATAAAAAGTCAAATGGCTGCATTCACAGAACATGTTAAGCCTTAGAAAAGCTTGAAATGAACTGTATGAATCGAGTCACAGGGTCAGGCCTTTTGGCTGTATTATGGTTAGCATAACGATAATACCTTAAGATTTTGGTTACCTTATTGGGTGGACCCAATTGTTATGGCATGTAAATCATGGCTTTTCGTTTAATTTATAAATCACAATTTCTTCGGTAAACCATGGTTAAAATAAACTCTAATTCCACATGAGACATAACTCACTTTATAGGGATCCAGTAATCTTCATCATAAGTATCCAATAGATGTAAGCCAATAAATGACAAACAATGCTTATCTGACTATGTGCATGAAGAAAAATAAAATAAAAATGTACAATTGTCAATGATCTGGGCTTTTCAAATAAATGATTGTATTTTATAACCAAATAATAACAATAAATTGTTTTCAAATGCATCCCATGGCTTTTAATTTAGGGTAAATTGCAATTTCTTCAATAAACCATGGTTAAAATAAACTATAATTCAGTCTGAGATATTAAAACCAAATAAGTGGTGTAAAAATCGGTTTATCTGAATGCTACATGTTCAGAGAGGAGAAAATGCCTTCCGTTTCTTGATTTGCAAAGAGTACTGAAATCAGCCAGACTTTTCACCATCTGGTCAACCTCCACAAATTTTCTGCAGCTTAGCAACTAAAAATTAAAAAGTAAGATCAGTTTGGCACTGGACACCTAATTTGGTATCTCACTCATGGAAATGGTAGAACATCATTGAATGGATTTTCATCTGTCATAAAACTGAATGCTTGAGAAGCAAATATTTCAAGCTTTAAATCTACACAGGACATTATATAACACAATGCTTATACAGGATTTTGTGTCAAAATAATTAGAATGCCATGTTTGAATTATTTATATGGTACAGCAGATGGATTTTTTTTGCATTGTTGGTGGGCTTCTGGGGGGATAAGTTCAAGGCAAAAATCTGGCCATTCTTCCTGAAAGCATAAACCCAAATACAGGCAGGCAGACAATAACAAAAATCTTGCTCCTTGGACTTGGCACAAAATGTTATTTTCACAATGCAAGGGAGCCCCCTAGTGCCTGTTTGTTAATATTTGCTATTATAAAGATAACTTCTCTTTATCCTTTAATTTAGGTTTTTTTTGTTTTTTTTTTGTATGAGAATAAAACCATACTGCCTTAGAAATTAATACTTTATAATGATAGCAGAAATGGAATCAAGATAGGAATATCGTTAACCCAATTTGATAAGAATATTTCCATGGGAAAGATGATGGCACTCTTCCAGCAAACAGGCATATGTATGAATCATGGCTCTGATTCTTTACATTCTTGCAGTAATAGAGTGCATTAGTTTTAGTCTCTTAATTAGAGTTTTCATAAAGTGGACATTAAAATGCAGCATATTCCTATACTAAGACACTTAGGCTGCCTATGTTGATTTCACAAATCAACACAGAAAAAATATCCAGCAAGGTTGGGCCTGGTTAATACTATTTTAGGAGATCACTAGAAAATCTTAGAGACTAAGTATCTCTCTGTCTAATCTCTCTTTTTCTGATACATTGCCTCTGCATGTACATGCACGAACAACTACAGAACTACAACCACTTCTGCTAGGACAGTTGATAAAGGAAAACACCTGTGGAACCACACACCCTGGTTGGCACCTGGGCAAATGTTCACAGCAGCTGCATTGAGACTTCTGGACAGCATGTTTATTTATTTGTTTCAATTTCTATACCGCCCTTCTCCAAATAGGACTCAGGGCGGTGAACAGCCGAAGTAAAAAACAGGACATACAAAATTTAAAAACAGTTTAAAATAATTAAATATTTTGGCCGTAAATTAAAACAACCCAATTTAAAATCAATTTAAAATTTAACTCAAGCCAGCCCAGCTAGTTGAAATAAATAGGTTTTCAGGGCCCGACGAAAAATCCGGAGGTCTGTTATTGTACGTATCTCTGGGGGGAGGTTGTTCCAGAGGGTGGGCGCCGCCACAGAGAAGCATGTTGCCCCCTGCTTTGAGGAGGAGGGTCTTTGTTCATTCCTCCATATTTTTCAGAGTGTCCTTTCAAATATTTTTTACAATGTACCTAATGTGCATTGCTTTAGCCTACTTAAGGTGTGTCAGCAGTGTTCTCTGGATTAATCAAGTGTGACAATGCAGTAATCCCCTTGCCAATTATTGCAGTACTTAAGACTAATCACTATGTAAACATTATTACTTGAAAACAGGTGCATATGATATTGTTTGAATTTATTTAAATTTGAATTTGGGGAAAAAATGTTGAAAATAAAAGTAGCTGGGCACAATCTAACCAAAGTTGTGCATGTGTGTACATGTCTATATGTCTACCTACCTACCTACATACACACTTTTCCCCTTTGAAGGGGGAAGGAAAAATTATGTGTGTGTTCAATTATGCATGTACTTAAAACCAAAGGATTTACAGAAAGAAAAAAAAGCAATTTTGGTTGGATTATACCTAGTGGCTCTGAATGCACTTCACTCAATCTGCTGCCATTCCTTGTCTAATGACATGAGTGATAGTTGCCCTGGTTATACTGAGAAGCCATCTTTGCTGATAGATTGACAAGTTAGCTATTATTTTGAGGAGAAGCCTTCAAGAAAAAAAATTCACACTCTGTATTTAATACTGATAGTTTTTCTCAGTCAACCAAGTTTTGCTCCTTCTTCTAGTGATGTGTTCACCTGATAAAAAAATAAATTGTCCTCATTGCTGGGTTGGCTTTCTCCAGGATAGAAGAAAGTCGGGCAAATGAACAGCAGCAGCAGAGACCAGGAGGATTCTTTACAATGGGTCTATTGCAGATCTATGGACCTTACAAACAATCAAACCTTGATCATAAAGATAGGGCTTGATATAGGCAAGCAATGACCTGTATAATAATATTTTTTTTGCTGCTGTATTTCTGTACTGACTAAAGCATGATATAATTTTATCTTGTTATGTATTCTAAAATATGGCAACACATTGTAATTTGGCTCCTTGTTATATTACAAGAGAAGATTGGTATTCCTAGCTTGCTTAGCTAAATAAACATGAAAGTATTGTAAGTACCATAGTGCCTGACTGGAATATCCTATGGGGAATGTTACATGAGTTTCATTATGGAAAAAAGACTGACTTTAAATGTTTTAAATAAGGCTAAAAAAGAATTGGTGACCCGTATTTCCTATATGATGGAGTTTATTGTTAAAAATAACTATATATTTTTGAAATCTGTTCATTGGATCATAAATGGTATTTAGTTATTTATTTATAAAATTTATATTGCCGCCTACCACATATGGCGACTCAAGACAGTTTACAGGACTTAAAAACACAATATAAAAGAAATAAAAATAATAAAAGATGAAAATAATAAAATAATAACACACACACACACACACACACACACACACACACACACACACACACACTCCAGGTTACAACACACATTCATACCAGACATTTAATGGGCTCTGTCCCCCTCTGGGTTCCCCAGGCTTGCTGTCAGAACCATGCCTTCAGGGCAGTGGTGGATTCTAATCAATTTTATCACCGGTTCGCATCGTGCACACGAACTTGCGCTTCGCGCAAGCGCATTGAGAAAAAATCCAGCTGAGGCATGGCAATCCCCTCTGCCACGCCTTACTTCTGACCAAAAAACAAACGAAATAAAGATAGGTATAGTGCGGGGTGGGGCGGGGAGGGCCCAAATGACATTCAGAGTGATCCGGTTCACTCTCCTATGAAGATTTCCACTACCGGCTCTCCTGAACCGGGGCGAACCGGTAGCAACCCACCACTACTTTAGGGCTTTCTGAAAGAGTGTTAGACTGGGAGGAATTATGTTCCAGAAGGAGGGAGCCACCACAGAGAAGGCCCTGTATTACTGTATCACAGTTTAAATACTTCAGGCAATGCTGCCTTCCACTGACTTAGTCAAGCTCTGTAGGCGAAAACAGATAATTTTGTTCAAATCAATTAAGATTAAGATTGTAAGCATACATTAGAAGTAGAAGTATAGCCAAGCTGGTTACACATTTCTTCAGCAAAGGCCAGATACAGAAGATGGGAATTGAAAGAAAGGGGGTAGAAAAGCAAGCTGGCAGTAGTTATATCTGGGACAAATCCAGTGAACAATCCAGAAGGGAAGGAGCCATAATTTCTATAGCAGCTTGATTTGTTAGATCCATCATTCATTCCTTCTCTCTGGCCTTTGTTTACCAGCCAAAACTTTACTGGTCTTGCTGTGCCTCTGGTTTAGAAAAAGATAATTTATCTGCTGCTCCTGTCTAGCACAACCTCTTTAATTAGCTCCTTGTAGATTCATAGCTTGTTTCTCTCTACTGTTTCTTTGTCTTTCTCTCTCTCTGTGATACTCCAATGTGAGAATTTTCCATGTATTGATGTCTCCAATGGAATTCTAAGGTGCCATTTCATGCCCTTTGGCAATGATCTTTGAGCAACATGAAAGACTTGCTTCAGCCTTTGATCTATTGAAACAGGGCAGTTGTGTTTGTAAGGTTCATTTTTGCCTCCTTTTAAACAAAAGGAGCTTATATTAAGAAGTATGAACACTGCTGATAATTCTTTTCTTATAGCTTCTTTTCACTAAGTCAACTTTTCTCCTTTTCTTCCTGCACTATTGTAATTTCCTATTCTTTCAGGAAGATATAACCAATAAGGCAGAACAGCTATCACAAGCCTCAGCATCCATCTTCAAAAGGAAGTCAGGTCATGAATGCCTCAAAATGCCTTCATCTAAAAGTAGCACATTGATGCAGATGCTTCATAAACAAAATATATTTTCTAATTAGGTAAGTCTGGTATTATGTGCCTAAGAAACAAACTAAAACTTTCTTCTGTATAGCCTGCAAAGAATTCAACCAGATAACTAGAATGGAGAAACCAGAGGAAGAATTAGACAAAAAGCAAGGTTTTTTAAACCACTACAGAGCAGAAAAATTATTTTATTGCACAATAAAAGGTATTTTGTAAGTAGGGTAAATAGGTGCAATAAGGGCATTAGATTCAACACTTCATTCATGAGACTCTCTGCAAAATTCTGCTTTTAAATATTTTTTAAAGGATCTATTTCTTCAGACTGAATGAGAGCTGTTAGAAAATGAAATGATGCCCAGCATGATTCTGATGGTCATTTGATGATGATGACTCTGGGGTCCTTGATTTCAGTCCTGAGGTCCAATGTTATCTGTGCCATTACATAAGATATTGTCTTGGGAAAAAAAATAAAGGACGAATCTGAAAAAGAATGAAAGAAGTTCATTAGGATATAATTTTTTTTTGTTATGCTTATAACTTTACTGTAGGAAGGAAAAGTCAAGAGCAAAACCAAGAAAATAAGTAATTGAATTAAATAAATCTAAAGGACAGCTTTCTGAAATAAAGGGCTAT